TTTGTGTCTTGAGCATCCTTGTCACCATAAAAGCTTTTTATGATAGAATTCTTTTTTTTGTTTTTTTCATTCTTTCAGCCTACTTCCTGATTTCAGATTTGATGTTAGGGCCAGGCTCTGCCAACATCTGAAGGGAAGATCTAGTTTTGTCTTCTTGCTGCTTCCTTGTAAGATTGAGTATTGTGTAGTCCCACAATTTCAGGGACAGCTCAGGTTGGGGTCTCTTGTGAGCTTTTAGTGCTCCCAAAGTGGTCTAATTCAGGGCAAAGTCTGGTTGCTCCCCCAGCCCCTTCAGGTCTGAGCTCTGCAAGTTCTTGACTTAGGTTTGGTTCTGAACAACAGCAGAGTGCTGCTAGACTTAGCCACTCTCAGCTGCCTGAAAAACTCTGCTGGTTCAGAGTGACAGAAATTTTGGCTTCTCTGTGGTTTGTGATTCCTACCCTGTTTATTCTTCCGTTGGCCTTTTCCATAAGGAAAGGAAATATATTCAGCTAAATTTATAATTCTCCCTCTTTTTCCACCCTCTCCCCACATATACCTTAGGCACACACTTTCTCTTTAACTACTTTTTCATATTCCTTCAGGAATAAGATGCTCATATACTATGTTTAGATTCTGCCCTAGTTATATGTAGATTCATCAGACTCTCAACTTCTGCTTTATTACTTAAAGATAGTCTGAGTGCTTTCCTTCCACCTAGTGTCTTGGGTTGATCTTTTAAATTTTGTATTCTTTCAGACTCTCCTTTCTGTTTTCTAGCTATTCTTGTAAAGTATTGAACTCTAAAAAGAAAGGTGCTATATAATTTAAAATAATTCAGCATTTGTATTTTTTCCTTCTCTTTGTCCTTTTTGGCATCTTTCATGTTTCCTCACACTTTTTCCCTCACAGCTTTTATATCTTTTCTTTTCCTGACTACAAATATTGACCTAAACTTGTATAAAACCCAATCCTTTTGCCCAAGTAGCAACAATGAGCTTCTTTTCTCCCTTGACCTTTCGTTCTGGTTTTCGGGCTTAGAGTTTGTTAGATGAAATTGTGGTTGTTACTGGAGTCTGTTTTGGACCACTTTATGAAAAAGACTCTTATTAAGCTGCAGATCTGTATACTAAATTATCTTCTTGTTCCCCATCCTTTTCATTTTTTTGAAGACTGCCTAGATCTGGTTTATAGTTGTTGCTTAGTAAAGGTTACTGAATCAAGAGAGGATAAAAGAGCATGCAGAAGCTCAAAATGTCCTTGTCACTCTGATAAACAGATGGTTATAAATAGTGATCTGTAACAGTGGCCTAGATGGCTTAAGCCCACATCCAGAACAATTTCCAAATTTATCTGATCTTTTTAGGGCCTTGTCGTTACAGCCCAAGTAGAGCAGACTCCTTACTTGTGGATGTGTTAATCTCAGAAAAGAAAATATATTCTTCCTCTTGAACTTAAACTAAAATCAACAACCTGAGTCAATGGACACAATGGCCAGAATTTCAAGAAGAGCTCTATTTATCAAGTGGTGTGAACATGGGCAGTCTGGATAATTACAGGTCAGAAAATAGGAGGTGATTTGCTCCAGAATAACTGGTATTACCTGGTTTCATCAGTTTGAGGAGTAGTGTTTTATTACCCAAGTATTTTGATAAGGGTTGTGACTTCAAGCTGTTATGTCATTTTCTCAAAATACCAATTTGAGCTTCATAAAAACCATTCTTATATTTATCTGGAAAGGAGTTAGATGAATATGTGGCAATCACTGAACATTGCTATAATTGGAAAAAAGTATTAAGTGAAGTCATCCCTTCTGTGTGTTCATCTAACCCCCAATAAGGAGAGCAAATATTGATTAGGTGCCAGGGCATTGTGTAAGGAATAGGAAGATGAAAAGCTACATAATCATGTACACAGATAATTAAATTGTTTGGAGAGGACAAGGGAGTTTAGAACAACTAAAGGAATAGGTAAAGTTAAACGTAGTGGCTATAAGAGATTCACAGAACAGAGGGATCACTTCCAGCTGGAGAGATGAATGAAGGCTTTGGGGTAGAGAGATGAGTCTTGATAGAGAGGAAAAATACCAAAGGGCTGAAATGGAATATAGGGAGTCATTGCAGTATGAGGATTACTTTGCACAAAGGCAGAAGTGGGAAAGAATACAGTGAGATCAGGGAAGAGTAAATAGTCCAGTTCTAGGAGGTTATAGAATGTATAAAGGGATGCATTTTGAAGTAAGGTTAGAAATATGATATGGAGTCAAACTTAAGGATGGTGGGGTGATCTTGCATGTCAGACTAAAACGTTTGTGTTTTATTTTATTCAGTAGGTCAATTTAAAGGATCTACTTAAGATTTTTTTTTTACTTTGAATATGAAGTAAGTTGGACAGCAAAGAGACTGGAAGCAGGTAAAACAGTTACGGAGGCTATTTTACCTAATACTCTAGGTGAAAAATGATGAACCATCTTAGCTCAGGCCTTCATCGTTTCTTACCTGGACTTTTGAAGTAGCCTTCTATGCAGTCTCACAGCTCTTGTCTCCCTCACTTCTACAGTCCATCCTACACACAGCTGCCAAATTGATATTCCTAAAGTATAGGCCTGATCATGCTACTGCCTGAGAAGATTCAGTGATTCACCATTGCCATTAAGATAAAATAAATACTGCTCTTTTTGTCATTTACAGTCTAGCACCATTTTGTCTTTCCAGGCTGATCACACATTATTCATTATGCATTCTACACTGTAGCTAGGATAGCCTACTTGCTGCCCTCTCTCCTCTGCCTCCGTGCCTTTGGATGCTTGTCCCCCTTGCTGGGAATGTTCTCCTTTCTCACCTTTGCTTCTTAGAACCCTTGGATCCCTTCAAGGCTCAACAAGTGTCAACTCCTTCAAGAGGCCCTTTCTAATTCCTCCAGTTGTATATATATTAAACAAAGTGCTGTGGTAGTAATAGAAGTAAAAAGAGGAAAAGATAGATACAAAAGATATTTTAGAGATAGTACTGACAGGGCTTAGAAACTAGTTAGATTTGATGAAGAATAGAAAAGGAAGAGTCATACTGATAATCCTTCAAGCACTCTTAACTTCCCAGTTCCTCAGTCTACTGAGTTCACATGACCTGCTTCTCCAGTCCACCTCAGCTACACACAGAAATGGTCATGTCCTTGATTTTTCCATCATCTACAAGTGTTTCACTTCCTTATTTAGGAACTCCAAAATGTATTTATCATTCAGTCTTTCCCTGTGCTTTACAACAACTTACGCTGTTATTTATCCTTATAATCTCCATCTTCTCTACCCCTCTTTTCTTCCCAAAAGTATCATTCTTTCCTTGGCTTCCTCCTCCTCCCACTGGTAAACCAGTTCAACTCTCTGTTCTCTTCTAATTCAGATTGCTTGCTCCCTTGTCCTCTCCAGACACTCCTTTTCAAACCCCAAACCTGGATTAATCCTGCCATCGACCTCTTTTGCTCCTAATTCACTTGCTGCTAAACGTAGCTAGAGAAAATCATGAAACTTTGCTGGTTAGATCCATTACACATTTATATTCCAGAACTTGAACTGTGTTTTCACTTCAGCAAGACAGTCCTTTTATACCTTCTTAATTGAGCCTCTGTTCCAATCACCACAGCAGGTATTCCAAACTTTCTTATCCCCTAAGCCTCCCACTGCATCCCTACCCTCTCTTCTGAGGAACTCGTTTTATACTTTTCTGGGAAAAAAAAAAAAACAACAACAACAAAACCAACTGAGGCTAATTATTTAGAGCCCCACACTTTTTTCCTCTTCTTCATCTCATAACACTCAAACATCTTCCCCTATTATTTTCACCTTAACCCTTGACTCTCTTGAAGAAGTGTCCCTTGTCCTTGCCAAGGCCAATCCCTTCACATGCACCTTTGATCCCATCTCCTCCCATCTTTTGCAGCAGATTGCCCCTGCTATCATCCCCACTATTTCTAATCTTCAAGCCCCCCCTAATATCAACTGGCTCCTTGCATGCTTCTCACAAACACCCATGTCTCCTCCATCCTTAAAAACCCTCACTTGCTTCAGCTTTCCATAGCTATATCAGACAATATAGCTGTCATCCTGTCTTCTCCCACTCTTGGCTTAATTACTTGAAAAAACCATCTACATTCAGCTTTTCTAAACCCTGTGCAATTTGGCTTTTGACCTCATCATTCAACTAAAATTGCCGTTTTCTAGTCTCCTTACCAAAGATTTCTTAATTGCCTGATCTAATGATCTTTTCTCAATCTTTATCTTTCTAGATGTCTCTGCAGCATTCAATATTGCCTTCTCCTCCCTCAGATAACTTTCTATTTCCATATATATTTTTTAATGTACCTAGTTGTGTGAATGTTGTTTTCCCCATTAGAAAGTAAGATCTTTGAGGGCAGGGACTGTTTTTTTGCCTGCCTTTGTATCCCTACCTCTTAGCACCTGTCTAGCATGTAGTAAGTGCTTAATACATATTTGTTGATTGACTGACAAAGTGGTGTGATGAAGAGCATGATGGACTTGTAGTTAGAAAAGACATATATTTGAGTCCTGACACTGACTAGTGTGACTGTGGGCAAACAACTTAATCTCTCTCAGTTTCCTTATGTGTAAAATGAGGATAATAATCCTGTATCTCACAGAACTGTTGTGAGGATCACATGAAATGGAGTTTTTAAAGTTTGTGCTTAGCAAGCCTTAAGACCTTATATGAATGTCATTTATTATCAATCTTGGTCTGAGAAATTACACAAAAATCTTTGCAGAAAAGCCTCTCTCATTATAATCACTATTAATTTTCCCCTGAAAACTTGAGTTTGCATGTAAAAGAGTGTGTAGAGATTTACTCTTGTAAAAGAGATTCCCAAATTACCTACTTGTAATTAAGGGCTAAGGATTAATCCATTGTATTCTTTGACTCTTGTTTTTTTGAAGGGGTAATGGTTCCAGAGAATTGTATCCAAGGAGTGTTTAGCCAAATTACCCAAATGTATTTGTATTTTGTCTCCAGAATTAAGAAATGGAAAGAGCAGCAGCGTTGCATTGAAGAGCAGAGGATCCTGAGAATGACCTATCAGGAAGACCTGTGTTCTGGGGAGAAGACACGTGAGATATTAGCTGATTTACAATTGAAAGATACAACAGGAGCAGCTACTAAAAAGCAGCAGAGGAGCAGAGAATGTGTCAGGTACCTTGGGAGAAGTGTTCAAAGCTTACTACAAACTTGAAGAAGCACAGTTCTATCCCTTTTTAGGAAAAAGGAGGCCATGTATGTTTCCTCAACACTTCACCTTCTTTCTCTTGGTGATTTTGTCATTTCCCATGGGTTCAGTTATAATTTCTATGTAGATTATTCCCGTATCTATGTATCTAGCCCTAGTCACCTGAACTCCAGTCCCGTCTCATCAAATGTCTTTCCGGTATCTCGAATTGGTTTTCTTGCTGGCATCTCAAACTCAGCATGTCCAAACCAAAACCAGTTATATTTCCACTAAAACTCTAAATCCTCTTCCCAAGTTCCTTATTCCTATAGAGGACACTCCCATCTCAGTTGCCAAGGCTCACAACCCCAGTGTCATCCTTGAACCCCTCACTTTCACTCTTCCCACATATCCAGTCCTTTATCAAGTCTTGTTGTTCCTACCCTTTACCACATTTCTCACATACCTTTTACAATGTCTCTCATATAGTTCCCCTTCTCTCCAGTCATTTAGCCACAATCCTACTTGAGGCCCTTATTACCTCTTGCTAGGACTGTTGCAATAGTTTTCTAATTGATTTCCCTGCCTTAAGTCTCTCTACACTCCAGTTCATTGTCCATTCACCTGCCAGGGTGATTTTTTTTAATACTTAGGTGTGATCATGTCACCTCTACCCCTTTCCTCCCATTCATTGAGGACTAGTGGCTTCCTTTCACGTTTAGGATCAAATGAAAACTCTCTTGTTTGGCATTTAAAGCTCTTCGTAACGTAGTCCCTTTCTACTATTCCAGCCTTCTTAGATTTTACTCTTCTTTAAGCATTGTATATTCCAGCAACATTGGCTTCCTTGTAGTTCCTGGAATATGAGACTCCATCTCCCATCTCTATGCTTTTGTACTAACTATCTCCCATATCTGGAATATTCTATCCCGTCCCCTCCACCTTTTAGTTACCCTAGCTTCCTTTAGGACTCAGCTCAAATCTTACCTACTGCAGGAGGTCTCTCTGGGTCCCCCAGCTGTGAATGTCTTCTTTTAGAATTCTTTCCACCTATTCTGGATATGTCTTTTTTCTGCCAAGTTGTTTACATATTGTCTTGTCCACTAGAATTTAAGCTCCTTGAGAGCAGAGACTTTGTTTCTGTCTTTGTATCCCGAGCACTTAGCACAATGCCTAGCATATAATATGTTCTTAATAAAGACTTCTGAACTTGACTTGTCTTGACTAGAGTAGAGTAGGAGTCATGGAGAAGACAGTAATTTATAATATTCCTGAAGACTCATGGGAATGTTATTTTCCCCATATTGTAGGTTGTTGAGAGAAGGAACTAAGGTACAAAGGCCCAAAATGTTTCAACCAGGAAGTTACCTAAAGTAGATCAAAGAATCAAATTAGGCCTTCTAATTCAGAGACCAGTACTTTCTGCCTACCTTGCCCACCTTGCCCATCCTTGCTATGTGTCATGGACTAGCACATAGTAAGTGTTTAATAAATGTTTGGTGACTGACTGACTGACCTTGCTGTGTTTTTACAGATATATAGAAGCTTTAAGAGCCCAGATACAGGAGAAGATGAAGTTGCATAATATTGATTTACCTCCATTGTGCTGCTGTGGTTCTGATTTCTGGGATGCTCATCCTGATACCTGTGCCAATAATTGCATCTTCTATAAAAACCATCAGGGTGTGTTTTTAGGAAAATGTGAGATCTAATGGCAAAAAACTGAGATATACTAAAGTTGTTGAAAATCATTCATATTTCTCCCTGACCTTAGTATCTGTCATTTTATTTCCTTTCTCATATTAGAAAACTGTTTTTGGATTCAGTCCTTATTATTTAACTTGTGAACGAGGCCCATTTGTTACATAGAGGGAAGGTGGAATAGATGTTTACCTAGCCACATAGAATAGAACTCTAGCCATTCCCAATCTATGGAATATCCAAATGTTCATTATTGTCATTTATTGATCATTTATTACATTCAGAACATAATATTAACCTTTTCATGTAAAAAAATTTTAATAATAAGTTTTTATTATAATTTAGACCATCAAAATTGCTTTTTAAAAACATCAGTTATTTCCCAGTATTACCACCACTCCTCTTAAATTCTCCCTTGTAACAAAATATTAAAGTAAAACCTCATTTCTGTGAAATATACAACATTCCCCCGTAAGTCTGCACCTCCCTCCTGGGGGCAGGGAAATTTTAAACTGTCTATTTTATTTGAGGTGTTGAGATGATTTAGCAAAGTACCAACTCCATCGGCAAGAACTCTAGCTGGCTAAAAACACTCAAGCTGATCTTGGGGGAGCAGATAAATCATCATCCAGATTCTTGTCTCCTATTCAACAACAAAGGCACTCATTTCTATGGCCCAAAATAATGTATGTGTGAGGTACTTTTAGTGAAATACTTCCAGTGGAGTATATGAGATATATTGGTGGCCTAAATTATTTGAATATTATTCCAGTTACTCCCTCTGGAAAATTAATATTAAATGATGTTAATAGTAGTTTATATGTCACTTAGCCTCTCTCAATTTGTTTCCTCATCTGTAAAATGGTAATAATACCTAGCTCCATGGGTTGTTGTGAAATTGTAATGAGATAATGGATGTAAAACCCTTTGCAGACTTGAAAGTGCTGCATAAGCACTAGAGATCAGGGTTTGAACTCTTGGAGACGAGAGTGGAATTTCTTATTTCATTGGCATAGGAAACTCCCTGCAAGAAAACTCCCTCTACCAATGCAGATTTGCATCTGTTCTGTAACTTAGAATTTTAAAGAGTTTCCTAGAGGAAACTATTAAGTGATGATAATCAATTTATTTATTTATTGGTTGATTGATTGGTTGTTATTAGAATTATGATGATGTGTTTCTAAGTCAGGGAAACAACTAGTGGAGTAAGGTTGGGGTGTGGAGACTATTTTGGAAGTTAACTTTTTTTAAATCTCTGTTAAAACTCTTGTTTACAGCATACACTCAAGCACTACATTCTGTCATCTCATCTTGTGAAATTTCTGAAAGTAACTCATCGATGCGACACGCCATCCACAGTTTTGCATCTGTGCGCAGACGGAATTGGAAGTTTCTGTAGCAGTAAGAATCTGGCATCAGTCTATACTTCAAATCAGCTCTACAGAGGGCATTTGGATTCAGCTGATCAAGTGTGTGATTCTAGGGAGTGGGATTACCACAGGTATCTACCTACTCTCTTGGAAGTTAATCCTTGACTGATGGTCTAAACTGTGCCTTATGACAAGAATACAGTTTGAGTCTAAGCCTAGTTTCTCATATGTGTAAATCACACAAGTGCTGTTGTTTTAAAAGGTCAGCAGTCAGGCTGAGACAGTACTTGGATGCTCTGCTGCTGATCAAGAAGAGGTTTTGTGAAGACTTCTCTCTCAGAGATTCTCATCATCATCTGTTCAGAACTGGCATTATTTCATTCTTTTGACCAAAGATAAAAGTATCTGGATGGGGCAGGTGTTCAAATGAATTTCCAAGTATCAGCAGTCATCCTTATTGTTTTCTTTTCTAGTTATACGTAAGAATCTGAGATGGGAGACTTTGGATTTTGAAACACATTATCATCTCAAATATTTGTATTTTCTACATTACAAAAAAAAAAAAAAAAAACCTAAAATGTTGCTTCTCCAATTCCATGACTATTAACCTTGGAGGCAGAGTTTTTATTTGCATTTTTCTCTTTAGAAGCCTTAAGAAAAAGTAAATAGTTCCTCTGTCTATTGAGAATCCTTGTGTGAAAGAAATAATATTTGGAAAAACAAAACTAAACTTGAAATAAATCAAGTCTTTTGTAATGTCCCATTTTGAATCAGTGAATGAAATACCAGTTTCCCTCCTGAGCAGATAAAATAAAAATCCCCCTCCATAATACGAGCTTGATTTGTCATGGCAGCTTCCTGACCTGTTTTCATCTGGTAAGTAAGTTAATCAGGCAGGTGCTAGTCAGCACCTAATGATGAGACATTTAAACTGGATCTGATAGATGCCAAAATAGTGGGTGGCAGAAAAACATATGTCAAGCTATTCTTTGACTTGACCGTTTTTAAACTAAATTAATAGATCATTTCTGTCAAAATGCTTGAAACCTATATGCCCATAGCCCCAACCGTAAAGAATTCTTCTCTTGACCTTTATTTCAGTTTGACTCAGCAAATGTTTATTAAGCACCTCATCTGTACAAAGCACTGATTTTGAGATGCTCTGCAGTATCCTTTCTTCTTAACTCAAATATGTGGACTGTATGGTCTGCAAAATCTGTTGCTGCTCTAAAAGTCTGTACTTGTGTGGTCTTTTGATTTGCCTGTGGTCACTTGCTGAGTTGGTAGTGGGACCAGGGTAGGGTTAATCTTTACCAAGGCCTAGTGAATTCTGTTTTCCCAACTAGGGCTTCTTGCCATTCTAGCAAATTCATCCTTGATTGAAGTGTCAGCACTTTGGTTGTGGTTTACTATCGTCAGTTTTATTTTTATTGTATTGTAGAATTATTAAGAACCTAACTGCCCTCCAGGAAGAAACCTAGGTCTCATGTTCCCTAACTATAATGTAGCAAAACTTGTTCAGATTAAATTGGGAGTCTAAAATACAAGCTTAAGGAAATGAGAACTTTGAAGATCAATTCTGCCAGGTTCCCCAGATTAACACAGATTATAATTTCCTGGACTTTATCATAAGAAAAGTTCAGAAAATTGCATTGGTGAATTTCAGAGAAATTTTTTTCTTCTTTTGGGAAAAAATTAATTTTGGGTCTCGTGTGAAAATTGGAAGGTATGCTGTCATTTCAATTGGAAATCTGAATAAGAATGAATTTGATTTTTCTACTAAAATTCCAAAATTCTTTACATTGCCTTTGATGTATTTGGTCACCAGCAACTTTGAAAGAGTGTTTATATGCCTACTTATTAAGTTCAGTGCACTTAACTCTGAAAGTCTCTAGAGATGATTTTGTTGGGTTTTCCATTGGATTCTTTTTAAACAGAGACAGCATGATGTCCTAGAATAAGTACTCACCCTTGGAAGTAAGAAAATCACAGTTCAAATTTTCTAGCTCTGCTACTAACTGACCGAGTGACCTTGGCTTAAGCTTTCTGAACCTGTTCCTTATCTGTAAAATGAGGGAGCTGGACTAGATGACCTCTAGCATTGTTTACGTGGACAGAAAGAAGGCTTCCACATTCAGTTCCTGGCTGCTTCTCTGATTCTTTCTAAGAAAAAGGTCCTGCTTTTCAGTTTTTCTGATGTTAGATGGATAATTTATTTTATGTACCATACCCTCCTGGGCAATAATTCTAAAATTCTATGATTTTATAAATAAAAATGATTTTATACTTTTTAATATTAATTTTTCTCTCTGTCTTTTCACTTCATTCACCACATGATATGTTTGTCTGTAGTGGACCAGTGGTAGAATTGGATTGTAGATAATGAGATAAGGAAACATCTGCATTTCCTTCTAAGCTCTCTTATGACACCCCCACTCTGATCTTACTATCAGAACCAATACTGAAGTACCGATAGAGTTAAGGTGGGGAGAATTAGAAGTATAGAAGGGATTTAGGGGAAGGTATTGTTATAAACTCAGCAAGGAAATCTTAACCCACTTAGTTCTTTATCCAGAAGAGATCTTTAAAGAACTTGTATCCATATCAGGAAATTGGGTCCTAGAGTACTTTGAATGTATGTTAAGACATTCAGAATTCCAGGATGACAGTAAAGCATGAGTTTTCCTTTAAGAATAAAGGTAAAAGACCTAAAATGTGGCATGTTTTCCTGAATAGCCTTGACAACTTGGATGATACTCATAATAGCTCACATTTAGATAGTACTTTTCAGTTTAGAAAGTGATTTACTATCCATTCTTGATGCATAGTGTTTGTCAGTCGATGATTAATGAACACTTGTTGAATGGAGAGATGAATGGATGGATATATGGATGTAAATAAGATTTTTCATATAGTGACTCTGAGTTAGAGAACTTAAGTGATTTGTCCATAGTCATGTTTCAGCTAGTCAATGGCAGAGCCAGGACTTGAGCACAGATCTCCTAAATGTCCTAGAATATCAGAGTGGAAAGGGACCCAGAGGTCATCTAGTTCAATCATAAATGAGTAAGAAAATCCTCTATAAATACCAGACAATTCATTATCCTGCCTTTGCTTGAAGACATCCAGTGAGGAGCACCCAGCTGCCTCCAAAGGTAGCACTCCATTTTTTAATAGTTCTAAGTGTGAAGAAGTTTTTCCTTATACTGATGCTAAATTTGCCTCATTGTGATTTCTATCCACTTCTCCCAGTTCTGCCTTCTAGGACCAAGCAGAACAAGTTTATTACATCTTTCCTGTGACAGCCCTTTTAAAAACAACTATCACATCCACATCTCCCCACCTCCTAACAATCTCTTTTCCAGGCTAAACACTCCCAGTTCCTTCAATCAGTCCTCATGGCATTATCTCAAGGCCCTTCACCATTCTGGTTGCCTTCTCCTTGGATGTTCTCCAACTTATCAGTGTCCATCTTAAAATGTGTCCAGCTCCGAACACAGTACTCTGACCAGAGGAGAGTACATTGGGACTATCACCATCTTAATCGTGGATATACCACCTCTCAGTGACATCTAAAATCACAGTAATTTTTTTCAGCTGCTATAACACAGTAAACATAACAAGCTTATCACTAAAACTCATGGTTTTCAGGTGAAATGCTCTCTAGTTATATCTCTACTCTCTTACTTGTGAAACTGATTTTTTTAACCCAAGACTTTAAGAAGATGACATTAGGGATATGTGTAGATCCAAACCATCATTCTAATCCTTTAAGATGTTTTTGGAACTTTACTGTCATTTAGTGGATTAGCAGCCCTTGGCTTTGTATCAGCGTCATCTGCAGATTTGATAAGCATGCCATCTGTGCTGTTTTCAAAAGCATTGTTGGTTTTTTGTTTTGTTTTTTAAGAAAGATTTACCAAGAAATATATAGCAAGAACAGTTGTTTAAAAAAAATCCCCCCTGAACTTTGGGGATACTCTCCAATTGCACATAAGATCCCTGGAAAGGGTGGGTTCAAACCTTAAAGCCCAGTGGTAGTGAGGCATATGTGTACAAAATGTGTTGTCACAAGACTACCTCTTCAACTCCTGGTTTGGAAAATCCAGTTGAAAGTACTGATAAAAATAACAAAAGCCAAGCACAGATCCCTGGGGTAAGATGAAAGCATGAAATTCAGGACCCAGAGAAGCCTTTATCTTTCATATTCCAGTAAAGCTCTAAAAAATGCACCAGAAGAAACAGTGATAAAGCTAAGTTCATCTAGTCCAGAACTACACAAGAAGATTCCTAGAAATCTGCAGAGACTCTGAATGTAGGCATGCCAAGGTAGGCACAGCAGCAAGCCATTTGGAGCTAGAATACAAGTCCAGATCAAGGCCCAAGCAACCCAGCAGAATCATAGCAAGAAAGAGTTAGTGCGGCTCAGTACGAAGTCTAGGCAAGCCACAGCCTAGCACTTAGGCACCTGACACCCAACCTACAGCAAGAGATAGGGCCAGACCAATGACCCAGTAGCCCACTGCCCAGGGAACAACATGCTAAAGACACAGCAAGAAAATGAGTCAAGGCAGCAGTGGGGAAGAAAAGTGTTTTGTTTTTAAGAGGTCTGGTATAAGTGCAATTGACAACTTACATTTGGAGCCTGTTAGGGTTGTGTCAAAGGATGAAGTAAATTCTTGAGTTCCAGGACTGTTGTAAGGAGGAGACAGAGAAAGGGCCAAAGCTAAAATTGAAGTGAAACTACTAAGAAACCAAGCCCAAACCCTACTTAGGGTGCGAGCTGGGCTTAGCCAGGAATCTAGGCCCACCCATCCCATTCTAGAGCAGAGGAGGATGTAGAGTATTCCAAACACAGTTTCAATCCAGATACTTAGGTTGGAGGTGTGACTAAAACAAAAGAAGGAACTGAACACAATGAAGCAATAATATGGATTGAGAGAAGCCCAACAGATGGACACATGAGAGAGGAGACTAATGTAATAGTGCAAGGGAGAAGCATCCTGAACTAGTGTGGTAGCCATGTCAATAGAGAAAAAGTCAGGTGCATGTAGAAACAAGATTAGGCAATTGAGTGAATATACAGGGTGAACGGGAGAGGAGGATTTGATAATGCCATGGTTGTGAGCTAAAAGGTTGTCAGTGCCCTTAACAGAAAGAGGAAAGTTCAGAAGGGCAGGTTTGAGGGGAAAATGCTGTTTTGGATATTTTTTTTTTTTTTTTGGTGAGGCAATTGGGGCTAAGTGACTTGCCCAGGGTCACACAGCTAGTAAGTGTCAAGTGTCTTGTCTGAAACTGGATTTGATCTCGGGTCCTCCTGACTACAGGGCTGGTGCTGTATCCACTGTGCCACCTAATTGCCCCTTGTTTTGGGTATGTTGAACTTGAGAGGTCCATGAGGCATCCAATTTGAAATATCTAATAGGCAGTCAGTAATGGAGGATGAGTTCAGGAGAAAGACAAGCACTAGATATATGAATGGATGAATGAATGAATGAATGAATGAATGAATGAAGCACTTATTAAGTACTTTGTACTAAGCTCTAGGGATACAAATAGAAAAGAGTTCCTGCTCTCAGGGAGCTCACGATTTAATAGAGACTGCAAGTTAAATGGAAAGGTCCCATGGTCCTTAAGGTGCAGCCGGCAAAACAGATGGTAATGTGTCTTTAATGTCATTTCCACTGGTAAAATCATTACATTTCTGATAATGATTTGACAGTGCCAAGGACTTTGGTGACAAAAACTGTCTTTCCCTGGGTCTTTAATAACTAACTGTGTAGTGTGTGTTCACATGTTGGAGCAATTGCTAGGCTACATTTCTACAGGAATTGCTTCCCAGAATGATAGCTGTAGTCTCTGGCCTGGAAGCATTACTATTCCAAAGGCTCTTAAGTGTAGAGTCCTAGGCTATCTCCATTAGAGTCTAAGGGAAGATGGCAATCATGATGGTTGTAGTAGTTTGATTTGCCTGGCAAATGCTGCCTCCTTTCTCTCCTTCAGGGTGCCTTGCTTCAGCTAGGCTGACTGGCTTGCCTGCCTTGTGAGTGGCAGTTGGTAGTTGGTGGGGATGGATACCCTGTCTACACATGAGCTATTTCCCCAGATCATGGCTGTGAAGGCTGGGCTGGAAGCAGCCTAGAGGGGTATTGTTACTCTCAGGGCTCTTATACTTACCTGCCTGTTAGTGGCAGTTGGTCAGCAGTTGTTGCTGGTGGCAATTAGGAAGGTGAACCCCTTCTCCACAATGATTTCGTCTCTCAATGGTTGGAGGTGCTGGTCTGGAAGCAGGTCTGGTGGTTTGGGTGACACTGCTATTCGTGAAGCTCTTGGGTTCAGGGACCTGGGCTGTTTCCATCAGTGGCCGACAGGTAATAATGGTCAAGATACTGGTGGTGGTTTAACTTTCCTGGTACATGCTGCCCCTTGTCTTTCCCTCGGGAGAAAAGAGAGAAAGGAAGAAAAAGGGAAAGAGAGGAAGAGAAAGAAAAAAAGAAACTGGGAGTCATCTGCGTAGAAATGATAATTAAACTCATGGAAGTTGATAAGGTCACTGAGAGCATAGAGAAAGAAGAGGGTACAGGACAGAGCTTTATAGGATGAAAACAGCAAAGGAAATTGATATGGAGGGGTTAGGCAAGTAGGAAGAGAACCAAGAGAGAAGTCTGGACATGTCAGAGAAGAAAGAATATCCAGGAGAAGAAGGTGGTTAAAAGGGCCAAATGTGGCAGAGAGGTCAAGAAGAATGAGGATTTTAAAAAGGAAATTTTTTTAGAAAAAGAAGAATGAGAATTTAGAAAATTTAGAAATCATTTAGAAAACATTTGGAAATTAGGAAACCACTGGTGATTTGGGGGGAAATAGTTTCAGTTTTGTGTTGATTTCAGGAGCCAGATCGCAAAAGTTTGAGGAATGAGGAGAAAGTAGAAGCCATAAGTATAACCAGCTTTTTCTGGTCATTTGGCAGCAAAAGAGAGAAGTATGATATGAAGATGATGATAACTTGAGGGGATGGTAGGATTTTTTAAGAATGAGAGAATCGTTTTTATTTGAAGGTAGCAGGAAAGGAAACAGGGAGAAATGGAGTAGAGATTGTAGGGAAAATCTGCTGAGAAAACAAACAGGAAGGGTTAGGATCAAAGGTAAATGAAGAAGGGCCATTCTTTATCAGCATGAGAAAAAGATAAAAAAAGTTGTCAAGGGCTTTGCTAAAATAAAGAGAAACTATATGGCATTCTCCAGCTCTAAA